TGCAGATGCTCTGTTCCTCCGCTCAACAATTGTGAGAGGACTACCCTTTCCTTGTTTTTCTGTCGAGACTGTGGCTAGGGTTTCTCCATGTTTTACCAATATGTTGTTCTGCAAACTCAAGCAGTGCTGGCAGTTCTTGGCTTAAGTCACTGCCAGCACAGGGGTTTAGAGCCCAGCTTTCTGGAAGGAAAACCTTAACTTGGACTGGATAGCTGCACTCAACACTAACTGGTGATCACCATCAGATGCATTGCAATGAGACGTTCAGACTCACCTCTACAACCATGAGAGCAAGAGGGTTGCTTTAAAAAAAAAACAATTTGGCCTTTGCAGCATTCTAACAAAACTCCCTTGAGGGGCATAAGAGAGTTTAGGGGCGCTAGCAGTTGTCTGTCCCAGACACAGGACTGCTTAGCCAATGGTCGGTGGTTTTGCTTGCATGCTTGTTCTCTGTTCATTATGATGGATCTCTGGTGAAACATTCCTCCATGAGTCATTTCTCCATGAAGTCACCTGGTCAGGGGAGGAAGGGGAGCAACCAATGTGGTGTAGTGGTTAGAGTGTCACACTAGGCTCCTGAAGACCCAGGTTTGAATCCCCACTTTGTGATGGAAGCTTGCTGGGTGACCTTGGGCCAGTTGCCCGCTCTCAGCCTAACCTACCTCACAGCACTGTTGTTGTGAGGATAAAATAGAAGAGGGTATAAATGAAATGGGGGGAATTAATAAATTTTTAACTCACTAAAACAGCCAACCATGGGCAAAATTTTGCAGATCCACCCACAATGGCACACAGCATCTACTTCCATGCTTGCTTGCAACTGAGAATGTCCTACTGGAAGAGATATGAGGGGAAGAGATGTCGCCCTATAAGCAGCTCTCTGGATGTTCTGCAGCTGGCAGATTTACTCCCAGTTTGCATTTCTCCTTCTGCCACCTCTCTTCCTCTTCCCCCTCTTCCTCCAAAGCCATGCCAAGACAAAAACAGAATGCATGTCTTTGCTCTCCCGATTAATAAGATTTATAGGCACAAAATTATGTGGAACTTGATAACAGTGCAGTTCTCTCCATTTTCAGTGATTCTGAGCAATAGATTTTGGATGTAAGTATAAAGCTGAAAGGGACCTCAAGGGTCATCTAGTCATCTAGTAATTTCCTGCAGGAGTGCACAGGAGCGGAGCTCCGGCAGTAAAGAGCCCAGGGGGCGGGCACATGCAACAAGCCCCACCCCCTGCTCCCAGCAGCCCTCAGTCAGAGCAAGAAGCAGCCAGGTAAGTTGCAGACCCCCCCCCGGCCCCCCAGTCCAAAACAGTCCAGTGGCACCTTTAAGACCAAGTTTTATTCAGGCACAAGCTCTCCCTCCTCTGCGAGGACAGATCTGCATGTCCCCACCCCAATAGCTAGCAATCCAAAACAGTCCAGTGGAGCCTGAGTGGTGGGTATTGCCTTCTGACATACTTCCGGTGATGTCGGGGGTGTGGCATATGCAAATGAGTTATGCTAATGAGTTATGCTAATGAGCTCCTGCTGCACCTCTTTTTCTACAAAATGACCCCTGATCTAGTCCAACCCCCTGCACAGTGCAGGAAATTCGCAACTATCTTCCCTGGCTACCTCTCCAGTGACCCCCGATACATGCCTGAAGGAAGGCAAAAAACCTCCAGGATCCCTGGGGCAATCTGACCTGGAGGGGAATTCCTTCCTGATCCTGAAGTGGCAATCAGCATTACCCTAGGCATGTAAGAAAAAGACCACGAGAGCCAAGCCTCGGCTCATCCCTTCCTGACCTCCCTCTCACAATCTGCCTAAATTCACAGAAACAGCAGTGCTGTCAGATGGCCATCTAGCCTCTGCTTAAAAACGTCCAAAGAAGGAGAGCCCACCATCTCTCAAGGGAGCTTGTTCCAGTGAAGAACCCCTCTAACTGTCAGGAAGTTCTTCCTAATGCTTAGCCAAATACCCTTTTGATTTAACTTCAATCCGTTGATTCTTGTCCAGCCTTCTGGGGCAACAGAAAACAACTCTACTCCATTTTCTATACGACAGCTCTTCAAACACTTGAAGATGGCCCTCCTATCACCCCTCAATTGTCTCCTCTCCAGCCTAAACCTCTCCAGCTCCTTCCGCCTTTCCTCAAAGGACTTGGTCTCCAGACCCCTCACCATCTTCATCGCTCCCCTCTGGACACACAGAGGATGGAGAGTTCTGCATTCTAAAAATCTTAGGTTGTATTTTTTTTTAAGGAGCAGGTTTCCAGTTCTCATGACTATAAACCTCGTTTTGAAATGTCTGGTCCAATCTCAAAAGCCAGAGGTCCTGGGAGGGAGGACCTCTCTTGCCGCTTTTCATGTCTAGCAGGGACAGAGTCACGTGTGTGCCAAAGAAGCAAATGTATATAAATTTGTCGTTGGAACTGCAGAGTTGTACCCTTCTTTGGTCTCCCATCACCCATAAAGGTAAAGGTAAAGGTTCCCTTGCTCAAAAGCCAGTCGAATCCGACGGTAGGGTTGCGGTGCTCATCTCCGTTTCAAAGCCGAAGAGCTAGCGCTGTCCGAAGACATTTCCGTGGTCATGTGGCCAGCATGACTAAACACCAAGGCGCACGGAATGCTGTCCCCTTCCCACCGAAGTGGTCCCTATTTATCTACTTGCAATTTCTTGCTTTCGAACTGCTAGGTTGGCAGGAGCTGGAACTAGAGATGGGAGCTCACTCCATCATGCGGCACACTTGGGTCTCGAACTGCTGAACTACCGACCTTCCACAGCCTGCAGTTCAGCGTCTTAACCACTTGAGCCACCGCAGCTCCTAAGTCATCCCATGACCCATAGTTATGACATTTTAAATGATGTGCGGATAAGGGTGGTTGTTCACCGAATTGCTCATTGCTGATTTGTCCTGCTACAAATAGCTAGGCACAGCAAAAGATGGTAGTGTTTAGCATCACTTCTGCCATAGAGCACTTCTGGCGGCAGCCTCAAAACGTAGCGTAGGGCTTCTTTTCTTTTGTCTTTACTCTCTTATCCATTCTGGGATTGATTCGGACTCTCTTTGGCACCAGTGAGAGAGGAACTGGATCATCACACCTCAATTGGAAGGAGTGACCTCCAGGCCAGAGGATTTGGTTGTGTCCGTTAAGAGGGCAATAAGAGCTGCTTTGGGAAGGCAGTCGTGCCACTGGTGGACCCCTCTTGGCAAGGTCTGTCTGGCTAGATGATTGTGTGTCTCCCCTGAACATGTGCCTGTGCTTTTCTGCAGTGTGCAAAATGTTGCCACCTGGTGACCTAGAAACAACATTGTCTCTGGATCGAGACAGTGTGTGACTGCAATAAAGAAGGCCAGTGCTATGCTGGGGATTATTAGGAAGGGTATTGAAAACAGATCAGCCAATATCATAATGCCCCTATATAAATCAATGGTGCAACCTCATTTGGAATACTGTGTGCAGTTCTGGTCACCACACCTTAAAAAGGATATTATAGCTTTGGGAAAAGTGCAGAAAAGGGCAACTCGAATGATAAAGGGGTTGGAACACTTTCCCTATGAGGAAAGGTTAAGGCGCTTAGGGCTCTTTAGCTTGGAGAAACGACGACTGAGGGGTGACATGATTGAGGTTTATAAGATTATGCATGGGAAAGAGCAGGTAGAGAAAGAGGTACTTTTCTCCCTTTCTCACAATACAAGAACTCGTGGGCACTCCATGAAATTGCTGAGCGGTCGGGTTAGAACGGATAAAAGGAAGTCCTTCTTCACCCAAAGAGTGATGAACACAGGGAATTCACTGCCACAGGAAGTGGTGGCGGCTACAAGCATGGACGGCTTCAAAAGGGAATTAGATAAGCATATGGAACAGAGGTCCATCAGTGGCTATTAGCCACAAGGTATAGATAGGGGCTCTGGGGCAAGTGATGCTCTGTCTTCTTGGTGCTTGGAGGGGGGAGTCAACAGTGGGAGGGCTTCTAATGTCCTGGCCCCACTGGTGGACCTCCTGATGGCACCTGGTATTTCTGGTCACTGGCCATACACAGTGTATGGCCATACACAGTTTCTGGCCATACACAGTGTTGGACTGGATGGGCCTTTGGCCTGATCCAACATTGGCATCTCTTATGTTCTCTTATGTTCTTATGATCATGATGCAAAGTTGCACTTAGTCTCTTTCCAACTTCATTACTACTTAAAAAAGAAACAAAATACTGCTGTGTCTGCAGTGGAAGACCTGTGTGGGAGGAAGGGGCAGAGGAGGACCTTCTCCTTTGGATTGGTTGTGTTTACATTGCACTGTTCTTTCGTTGTTTAACCCTTTCCCCCTCCAGCAGCCCCCCCCAATTGCTTTTTTTACCACACAAGAGAAAAGATCTTTGCAGAGCTCCCCCGAAGGAGGGGGGGGCAACCATGGAAGAGAGGGTTTTTTTGGCAGAAAAACGCATGAGTGGAAAGAGTTAAGAATCCTGCATTCATTTGCAGCCCCTCTGGCTGCATTTTGTAAAATGAAACACAAGTCATGGAGCAGCTACTTCCTGCCTCCTTTGGCTTTTGCCTCCAGCTCAAAACTGGGAAGCGGGGGCTGTCAGCCTGAGAGCTTCCTTTGTCTAAGGGCACTTGCACCACTTCTTGGTTATAAATCAATGTGCTGGGAAGCAGCAGCTGGCAATGAAGACCCAAGGTCAGTTAAGGGCTGGGCTTATTCAACAGGTAGACACCTGGTGTTATGCTCAGGATCTGCTCAGCTGGCTCTCCCTCTGCCCAGGTGTGTCACCTCCCCCCCCCACCACCAAGCCACCCCCGTCATGCTTTCTGTTCTCTTTCTGTCAAGTCTTTTCCTTGCTTACTGGGCTTCTGGAGCTGAGAAACCACATGCAAGCACTTGGCACTTTCCAGGCTGAGCAGAGAGACGGGAAGTGCTTTGGAGTTCGGGTTGCTTCATCGGGCACAAGGGCATCATCTGATGCTCTCTAAGAAGGAATGCATAACATACGAGAAGGGCAAAAGGGAAAACTTACGTTTGACAGTGCTACGAGACTCTTGGAACCCAGCTGGCTCTGAACCCCAGCCCAAGGATTCGCATTCGCGCTCCTCCCCTTGCCCATGCCTGGCACCTGTGCCCGCACCTCCTCTTCCCTTCTCTGCCAGCCAGCACATCTTCCACAGTCCCACGCTGCGCTTGCGCCCATCCTCCAAGGTCTGGTACACCCAGTTGGGGGTAAAGGCGGCGGCATTGTTGAGAATAAGCGAGACCAGAGCCACCAACACGGCTGTGGCTACCAGTTTCTGGACAGTCATAGCTGACTGTCATCGGCCTCCGGCAAGCCTCTCTTTGCAGAAGATCCAAGACTCTCCGTCAGCCGTGGCACATTGACTTGGAACTTCAGGCAAGAAAGGTGGGTGCCGGACGACGTTATGAATGGCTAGAGAACATCACCATTCATTCTCAAAGTCAACTCCTAGGATGTTTCCGATTGCACAGAGGTGAATGGTTTAATCAGACGGGAGAAATCCATATTAAAAAATGCAGGAACGAGGTTTCCAGAATGCCGTCTTGCGCTTTATCCCCCTTCCTGCACTTTGAGCAGAGCCAACCCGGTGAAGAACTGAAAGGCAAGGAAGTGCATTCTTTCTGAGGCAGATTTTGATAGACAATTTTGCAGCGTTCCTGAGACCACCAAATGAAACAAAGCCACTTGCAAATTCGCTGGGCACCTGAGTCTTCTGGAGCGCAGCTGGGAGGGCAGACAGAAATCCCTGTTAGGTAGTGATGGCTCTGAAATGGTTCTCAGCTTCAGGATTCAGAACATTTCCCCCCAAATGCAGTAAAAATTTCTTTCTTAAAGCCAAGGCAAATTCCAAGTGAAAAGCATGTATCCCAAAGGAGCCCAGGACGGCCAACGTATTCCGAGGAATCCGCTCCGGCTCCGGCTCCTCTCCGAATGGCAGAGCCACGAGCGGCAGAAGCAGGAAAGCAGAACCTCTGCTGCAAGGAAGTTTTTTCCCCTCTCCTATCTCTCAATGGAGAGGAAATGGTTGTTTTTTTGTGGCTGTTTTTGGTGAGCCTCAGGGCGTAGCCCTCGATGGCAACAAACAGAGCCACTGCCACAGCAGTCAGATGTGAACAGGATGTGTTTCCTGAAAGGAAAAGACTAGGAAGACTTCCAAAGCCCAGTCTCTCTCTCTCTTTCTCTCCACCCCCCAGGCCTCCCACCTCATTCCAGTATCCTCCTTCCTCCCCCCCCTCCTCTTCTGTGTCTCCAGAGTTCAATGATATTGTGTGAGCAGGATTAGTTCTACAGGTGTTGCGTGAAAGGGCCTCTTGGGTATCGTGGCAGAGGGCAGGTGTTGTTGCAATGCCTTGCCCCTATCATGTGTCAGACTTGACAGTTTGGGGTTAAGCCACCCTTTGTATCCAGTGAATCTGGAGGTATATGGGCCCCACCCCCCAAAAGCATTGGTTTAAGAATAGTATAAACAAAACCTCTGAGATGCAAAGACACAAAAGGTTATTTTAAAGAAACTATCCCATATCCCGCATGACAAAAGTGATCTGACTTAATCAGCTGTTGGGGTTTAGTATATTTTAGCATGCTTGAAGCTGCACTCCGAAAAGCAGTCATTCCACAAATGGTACTGACATTTTTATGAGCCTTCAGGACATTCGAGCAACTGCTTTGGCACTCTAGAAGTTCTGTGAATATTGCTGCACCTTCGTGCTTTAAAATGTTCCAAAATGTACCTCTGTTGTGTCACATTAGTGAAAAGTAGGCACAATGAGGATTTGTCATGCTGCATGTGAGTGTGTCACAAAAACAGCATATCATTTATGACTAGCAACTGCAATTTTATCAGTCTACCTAAAATTTTGGATGACGCACACCATCTCCGACTCTTTTCTGAACTGGATACGTGGAATACATCAAGAAGAAGAAGAAGAAGAAGAAGAAGAAGAAGAGATTGGATTTATACCCCGCCCTTCACTTGGAGTCTCAGAGCGGCTTACAAACTCCTTTCCCTTCCCCTCCCCACAACAGACACCCTGGGAGGTAGGTGGGGCTGAGAGAACTCTGACACAAACTGCTCTTTTTCAAGGACAGACGAGAAGAAGGCTAACAGCCAGGAGCCCTCTGAATCAAACTGGCCCTAACTGCAGTTGTCATTTATGTCGAACTTGCCATATATTGACAGCTCTGTGGACTGGTCAACTATCAGTCCCATTTTACAAATGGAGGCCGAGATAGTGTGGAAAGCTTTGGTCTTCTGTGAATGGCTGGGCATATGGTCCGTGATGGGGAGGGTGGGAGAGAACTTGCCATGATCCATCAGCTCTCCACTGCAGCATCTGGCCTTCATTAGGACTGCTCACTCTAGCTGATAGAGTGCAGATGTGAGCTAGTGTTCCAAAGGTAAACTCAGGAAATTCTTGGAGTTGGGGTTCAGGGGATTGGGCTTTAATATGGAACAGGCAAAACATCAGACTTTGGTAATAGAAGAAGAAGAAGAAGAAGAGGAGGAGGAGGAGGAGGAGGAGGAGGAGGAGGTTTTATACTCCGCCCTTCACTTGGAGTCTCAGAGCGGCTTACAAACTCCTTTCCCTTCCCCTCCCCACAACAGACACCCTGTGAGGTGGGTGGGGCTGAGAGAACTCTGACACAAACTGCTCTTTTTCAAGGACAGCTGTGCCAGAGCTTGTGACTGACCCAAGGTCACATCAGCAGGTGCACGTGGAGGAGTGGGGAATCAAACCCGGTTCTCCCAGATTAGAGTCCGCACACTTAGCCACTACACCAAACTGGCTCTCCTAGACACAATGGTAAAAGCGGCAACCCTCAGGAGTTCAGTACCATGTGACATCACCAAAGACCCAATTGACCTTGTGTCTTCTTTTTTTAAAAAAATATTCTTTTTATTAGATTTACCATAACAAACAAACTAACAAATAAACAAACAGGAAAAAACCCAAGGACATTAAACAGTAGTTTTCTGCAACAAAAAGAGATACATATCACATATTTGTTCTCATTTTAACAATGCTTTCAATGATACTTAAATGCATAGTTCTAGCAGTTTATAGCATCCAACATAACCATTGACCCCTGATATAAAGTTCTTCGGATCTACATTTCTACCCAGTAATATTTCTTGGCAAAATACCTTCAGCACTCATTCTTATCCATTAGCTTTACAGGTCACTAATCTAAACTGAGCCCCGCGTTTCTATTTCTATTCTTTAGGTTTAAATACCAACCATTGCTTTATCAACCATTTCCTGATCAGTAATTATACCGTGCTGTTCTAAAACTCAGTTCTCTCGATATCCCAGGAAAAGTACTTATTCTTTATTCTCTTGCCTAGTCATTATTTTCATGTCTCTTTAAGTCCATTTTTTTAAACCCTACAGATTGTGTATAACCTTCCATTCCAGTAACCTTCACTTATCTAGTTCATTCTTTGTACATTTCTTCTTACTGATCCCCGTTCTTAACAATTAAAGAGTACCAATACCCATGGAGTGGAAATGAAAAATAATACAGCCTATTATTCAAGCCTATTTCGTTCCCCCACACACATTTCTCTTATCAATTGTTTTGTATCCATGCTTCCCCACTAAGAGGAGTTTCAACATTTTTTGTCTCCATTAATTAGATAACTAAACAGTAATAACACAAATAAGCATTTAAAGCATACCTCTAACTACAAAAATATACTAGAATACATTGTGGGAGTCTCTACATTTCTTTCATTATATTCACCAGATGAGGGAGAGGGAGTAAGTAAAATAAAGGGGAAAGAAAGTTTGCTCTACCACGTAGTGCACAACACCTATATCTTCCCCTTCTTTTGCTTTCTGGGCTACCTTTTTCTCAATAACTAAACTTAAATGTCTTACTTCTTTGTATTCATCAGTTTTAACTTCCATGTTTTGTCTTTCCTGTTTCAATGACTTTGTTTTCAATTTTCTGTTAAGTCTATTATTTTTCCTTGGAGAACGCTTCTCTCTTTTTGTCCTTGGCTTATTCACCTTTCCATGATTTTGTTGTCGGGAGGTTCCTTTTTTCAGACTCACCACCAAAGAGTGTTTTGCCGAACTCTTTAAATGACACTTTTGGTGGTTCTCTTCTCCACTAACAACAGTGTGCTCTGTAACTCCTTTTCTTGTCCGAAGTTCTGCTCCTTATCCAAATTCACCCCATTTCATTGGGGCTGTAACAATTCCTCTTTCCTTTTCCCATTCAAGTTTGAGTTCAGGAGATTTTCAAAGGCGTTTTTGCATGCTGTTTCAACTGCCTGTCGCACTTCGTCAAAAAGAAATCCTTTAAATTGCTCCACGGTGAGCTGGTCAATTTCTATGTTTAGCATATCTAACTCTTCCTCGTCTCCTTCAGCTACTTCGCCGTTCTCCCCTGCCGCCACCATTTCCTTGCCTATTCCTTTGCTCCTATGCAATTCTTAGCTGCCATTACAAAGTTTGGAGATATTCCTAAAGGATTATTTAGTAGAGGTCTTCACTTAAACGTTGCTAGGTCCCCGCGTATTCTTCTTTGTTGCTATATATTGTTATATTCATCCAAAGTTTTAAACGGGCAGTCACAGCTTAAATGTAACAAGGCGAACCCTGTTACTCCCATCTCCATTTCCGCTTCAAGACGAAACCGTTCTGGCTGTGCTTACCGCCGTTTGCACGTTTCCAGGCCAAGTCTTCTGCCTCCAGCCTCCCTCCGAGAGGTCTGGCGAAACCCCCATAGATCCCGGGGATCCTAGGGGGCTCCAAAGAAATGAAGGAGGACAGGGCCAGTCGGGAGCGTCCCGACTGAGCTCCTGTGGTGCTGCACCGCTGCCTGGAAGTCTGACCTTGTGTCTTCCGTGACTTTTGTCCAGTGGGTTTTTTCGTGTTCATGTTGGTCTCTCTTGTAATGGTAGGCTTCATTATGTATCTCAGCGGCATGCACCAGTGCTCTGATAATTCAGTACCTGGTGCAATGTTCTCTCTAAGCATGGAGTGAGCAGAAATTCTACTTTGTGAGCTACTGGCATTAAAGTTGTGAGCGAGCAATTTGGCTCCTGCATCACTTAGTTTGCTCTGGAGCCCTCCTTCCTGAGCTAAGACAAAAATGTGTGAGCCGGAGGCTAAAAAACTGAGCTAGCTCACACTAACTCAGCTTAGAAGGAACACTACTGGTGGGACACCAAGTTATTTCTGACTAATTTTCAGGCTTACGGCCAGTCCTAGCACCTTTTGAAAATCGTCTTCTTTGTCAGATTAACTTGATTCACCAGGAGTGCCAGTTTGGCTTCACAGTATCAAGGGAGTTTTTGTTGTCAGCTCATGGTGGAAATTCATGTAGAATCTGGACTTGTGGGGTACATCACATGCTGAGCTGCCACAGTGGGTCTCACAAACCAGGACGG